TGACTGTGTGTATTTTTTCTCCCAAAATTTTATAATTAATCCCTGATGAAATGTTATTTCCTCAAATGATGTTATCCTTTAATTCTGTGTATTTATCTTGTGCCCACATTACTGCCTGTGCTATCTCTCAAGCTTTCAGGACAAATACTGACTGCTAAGCCACATAGAGCTACACAGTCTGATGAATTTGAGTGTGAATTTATCGTTTTGCCTCCTGTTTCTGCGCCTGATTTTTGTTGTCTGGAGAGTTATGAGCTCATTCCACCGCAGAGGTAGAGACCAGCTTGGTGTGGGGCACATGTTGGTGATCAGAGAGCAAGAGCTTGAATGCTGGCATCAGTGGTGCAACCGTCCAGTTGAAGTCTAGTTCAGACCCTTTGGAAGTGTGATTAGAATCAGAGAATCCCTCAGGTTGGAAAAGACCCTTAATATCATTGAGTCCAACAAAGCCAGCCGCTGAAACCTGCTGCATTGGTGACGCTTGGCATGTTTCATTCATAACAAAGGTGCCAAAGTGCCGTTTGAGCCGGAACCTGCCCAATCCAGAGTGACATGTTAAATGAACCCCAAGTCCCTGTCTGACCTCCCTTCTTAGGCTGGTCAGTAATCCAGTCCTGGTTTTGTGGGGTTTTTTTTGTTTGTTTTGTTTTGAGGTTGTTTTTTTTTTGGTGCAATTGATATCTAAATGTGAAAACTGGGACCTAAAGTGATCCAGAAAAGTCATCAGGCCAAATTCCCTGATGCTCCCATGCCAACTGTAAGACATGCAAGAGCATGTCTCAGGGAGGAGAGGAATGTTGGAGCTCTCAGATCTGCTCTTTTCCTTTTTGTTACCCCGATTCAGAGTTTAAAGGGCACCACTAACTTGAGCACTTCCTCTCCCATCTCCCACTGGAAGTAGCAAAGCTGGCACATTTTTCCAATGCTGGAGCCTCACACACCTTGGCTAACTTGAGCACTTCCTCTCCCATCTCCCGCTGGAAGTAGCAAAGCTGGCACAATTTTTCCAATGCTGGAGCCTCACACACCTTGCCTAGGACCTGGGCTTCTGGGGCATCCCAGCACTCAGCTCTGCGGCCGTAAGGAAGTCGTCAGGACTTGTGAGTAGGAAGCTGATTTCTGCTCCTGGCCATGACCACGTAAACCCCTACACATTTTTCTCAGGACTTAAAGATGTAAGCTATGAAGGCCTTGCTATAATTTTTGAGGGTTTACTAAAGCCCCAAGAGGATTTACTGAGCTTATATAGTGTAAGTGTGGTTCAACTCTGAAATCTGATTGACTCAAAGGCTAAACACTCTAGGGTTTCCGTGCTTCTCTGAACCAAATAACAAAGTTGGACAAGATTCACTAATTAGTGCTCCCGTTAATTTTGTCAATCCCTTTAATAACTTTCATTTTTTTTTCAGTGCAAGGTTAATTTAATTTCTGCGTGGATCCTGATCTGTTTTCTCTTCTTTTTCTCTCTCAGCTCATATTCAGGCATGCCGTGCCCTGATGATTACTTCCATCCTTTTGGGATTCATAGCTGCAGTACTCTCACTGCTTGGTTTGAAGTGCACAAACATCGGGTTGAGCGATGAAGACGGAAAAATGAAATTTGCTGTCACAGGAGGATTTCTCTTTATTTTAGGAGGTAATATCGAGGCTGGACTGAGAATGTTATCAGTACTTTGTATTGCTTTCACAGCTAGACTAAATGAAATGAACACTTGCTCTTGGTTTAAAGCTGTTATGGCTGTTAAAGGAATCACTCACCTGTGTGCTTTTTAACCTTCTACTGGTAGGTCTCTGCTCCATGGTGGCAATTTCTTGGTATGCTGCGATGGTTACTGCTCAGTTTTTTGACCCGTTGTACGCTGGAACCAAGTAAGTTAATATAGATCTGTTGTACCAAATTCTGTCATGTGCTACAGACAGCTGAACTAACCTCAGCTGCTCGAGTTTCAGAACCTGGGTGGATCCCGTTATCCAGTTCTATGGGAGGAAAAATTTATCATCAGGGAATCTTTTCACCTCAGAGCTGTCGGGGGCGCGGGGCACAACAATGGAGGCGAGTTCTTTTCTGGAAGGTTTAGTGAATGTGTGAGGACTGTTAGTCCCACATCTGAGGGAGTTCTATACTGTGTTTACATTTTCTTCTGAGACTCAATTAAGCGTACATCTCAATGATATGAAGAGGAAAAGGTAAAAGTCCTAATTTTCCTTGACTTTTAGACTTTAAGAGGTACAAAATTCTAGCTATCGCTAGAATATGCTGCCTAAGATGTACAGAAACCAGCTTGAACTGCAGATAGCTGAGAAACTTCATTGAAGTGTGCCGCTTGCCTTAAAGAAGTAACAAAGTGTTTCTCACTACTTATTAACAGCTTGACATTCGTTTGCTTGATGAATTAAATTGAGACAAAGTTTGTGGAACTATCAGCTCATACAGTTGCGCACAAACAAGTTTCAAGCTATCAAAGCCCTTACTCTTGTCTGATATCAAAGCAACAGTCTTCAAATCCAGATGCCCGCTTATGGTACCTTATCTAGGTCAATAGATTTAGCAATGAGGAACAAGGGTGGAGGTGATCGGGCCTCTCCTTCAATGAAGGGGGGGAAAAAAGGAGAGGGAAACAATATGTTGCCTGTGGAACATGAGAAGGCTGGTTTGGGGAGAAGGGGACACATAATTTGCCAATATCTCTGCCGAGTATATAATTTTTACATCAGTAAACTATAAATCTTTAGTGGCTGGGACTGTATCTGAAGTGTTCTGTAAGCTTCCTTCTGAGAAGCAGTTCAGGGAAGTCAGAGGTGAAGTGCTTTGTTGTGAATCAAAGTACTTCAAGCAATTGCTTTGGATGTTTGTCAGTATTCCTTGTGTTTTCAAACAAGCACCTACAAAGAAATTGCACTTATGAATACTTTTTCGTTGGTTTATATCCCCTTGAAGGAATTATATGAAGGGTAATAAATACGTTAGATGATCGAAACAACTGTTGATAAGGGATTTCAGTTAGTGGGATAGTTAGTGAGTTTTATAGTTGTCTGGTATAGCTTTGGGGCTTCGACATCAATGCATGTTAATCAGTTACCAGATTGTTTGCATTCAGTAGCTAAAAAAAAAAACAACCTTTTTTTTTTAATATCTCAACTTCAGGTTTAAGACTATCGATTCACTGAGCAGTTCTTCATGAATCTACTTTGGTCATTGGTAAAGCAAGACAGGCTGTGAGGAAGCTTGTGCTCCTTGGACTCTGTGAGACAGGTTTAAATTCAATTGCAGGCCAACAGTGATCAGAGAGTGGCAAATCTGGGGTTTCACATTGTTTTTTTTTTTTTGTCCTGACTTGAGCAAATTAGTAAAGCTGACCTCTGCTAATTCTCAGAGGAATTTCTCGTACAGCTCTGAATGCAAACTGCGGATCCCTCCTATTTGCTTTCCTTCAGTAGGACGTCTACCAAACATTCCTGCCCAGAGGGGACCAGCGAGCAGAGATGATTCTGTGCGCTGAGCAATACTCACTGATCCTTCCTTAGCATTCCAACTTGCACTCCTGGGTTTTTTTGGTGATAATGATTGTATGTTTGAAAAGCGCCTAAAACTGTGGAGACCTTGCAGCTCCAATGTGCGATGAGGACACTGCAAGCAGTGAGCCTGGGTAAACCTCTGAAACCTTCCTTTTAGCAATTAATTCCACAGTCAGAAACTGTGACGCTCTCAAATAATGATTTTGTGTTTACAAGTGGAAAGAAAACACACATATCTGATTTCAGGATACCTTCTGCCCAGTCCATGACATTTATTTTGCCCTCATATCAAGACCACAGGGGTACAGCTGTGTTGTAGCTGTAGTCTTTGGCCAAATATAAAAAAATTGTTTTCCTCTCTTCATAAAACTCCTGCCAGACTTTCCCAGGCTCAATTGTATCTAGTCTTTGGGGCAAAGTCATCATCAGTGAATTTCTTGGATTGGGCTAGGGGGTTCCTGAAAGGTGCAGTTTTATACAGTAAAATGGAGACCTATTCTGTTCCAACTTTGGACTATTCAAACGTGTTTCAGACATATAACCACAGAGAGTGCTGCATGTTCTCTAGGGTACATAAGTTTGAAAACTAGCCCTATACGACTAGCTGCTTGTTGGCATAGTGTCGTGTCCACAGAAAACCGCTCTCAGTGGTTAGCTTTGTCTCATGACACAGGCAGTACAGTCCAAATTGCTCAGTTGCACAAAATGACTTCAGTGGCACAGCCACCGTTGTGTCTGCAGCCAAGTTTTGTGGGCTGGACCGAAGGCATATTATTACCATTTATTACTGACAATTTATTAACTATACACCAAGTATTTATTGGCAGAGCACCTAAATACACATGTAAGAGCTTTACTGAACAGACACAAAGCCAGATCTGTTATCTGAAGTACCCATCAGTTAGCTGATTTCTCCACAGACTAGCGTTTGTTTGTTTGTATGAGTTGTGCACCTTATGGGTCGGCCTAAAATAATGGCTTTGCAATCCTCTTACATGCTGCTTCCATAAAATCTTTCGTGTTCCAGGTATGAACTAGGAGATGCTCTGTACTTAGGCTGGGCTGGATCTGCTCTTTATATGCTTGGTGGGATCTTACTGACCTGTTCATGTAAAGGGAAGAAAAAAAAAGATTACAGGTAATCTTGGTTCGTCACTTTTGAAATGGAATCTGTCAACTCTATACCTCTTTCTATTTGTATGCTGTTCTCTCTCTCTCTCTGTTACCTGCACCCCCCGGTATAAATCTATAGCCATAGGAAGAACGAATAGGAAATTAGTGCTAAGGCATGTCACAGACTTGTGATGACAGGGGATGCTGCACCTAATACTTGTACCTCCTAGTTAGTGTACTTGTTGACACTTTGCCCTTCGGGGTCACCTATAACTAGTATTTGGTGATTCTGGGCACTGCTTGTGGTTCTGAGATGAAAATATGCAGTGAAAAAGCAAACTAACTATTGCCAAAAGAAAGGTATATCAAAAATATAGTGTATTATAATCAAGTTTCTCTGCAATATTCACTACATTTAATTTGCAGAAAGTGTAGTGGCATTTCCTTCCAAAAGCATATCCGATCGATCATTAGACGCAAATGATTTTTGTCTTGTTCCTTACGGAAACTGCGCATCAAATCAGACAAGCTGAGATTTCTGGCCTCAAGAGTTAAAATTGAGTGTGTTGTTTTCAGCTTTAAATGGTTCACACATACAGAGGGTTCCTTTCTGAAGGAGAGAGATGAAATTGTCAGAAATAGCAGAGGGCTATGTCTACCCAGAAGAACCCAAACGGCTCGGAGGCTGTACTGGCGGCACTTGAGAGGGTGATGATACGGAAGGAGAAGCATGCTCACTGCCGCTCCATCTAGCCTTAAGAGCATTATGTCAAAGCACATGACGAGTGAGAGTGTTCCTCTGCTGCTTCACTGTCTAATCTGAAGCCATTTGAGTTTTAGGATAATATTTAGTCAGCCGCATTGGACTTCAGATCTCTCTCACCATTCTTTGAATATTCTGAAATATCTCGAAAGTCAGGTAAAACTGATGTACGAAACAGAAGTTCAATACAACAAATGACAGCTGAAGGATTTGGCTGAAGACCCTTCTGTTTTCCTTTCTCATTATCTTGATGCCTGTACTAAAAACTGCAGCTTGCACAAAGGCATGAAGGTCTGGGTTCTCTTCAGCTTTAGGGACGCGACTAAAATGCCTTGAGGAAGGGCCCACCTGAGTTAAGAATCCAGCGAGTGTTTCTGGTTACAAGAGAGAAGGAGCCAATCTCTTTTCTCTTACCTACAACACTGATGAGATCAATAGGTCTTTAATTTCTGCATTTTTGTGAAGTATGTGCTGTCAGTGGGTTGGCTACAGACTTGACCGAGTAACTTTCTACGTATCTGAAACTGCGGACGTGTGTGTAATACCTATTATTATCTTTTTTCTTAATTTACAGTTTCAACAAATATGCATATTCGGCAGGCCAGGCACCTCAGCAGCAGCAGCGCATTTACACCAGAAACTCTGAGACACTCATAAGCAACAAGGAGTATGTCTAAACTTACCTTTTACATCACTTGTAACGTTAGTAGGTTATGAACTCCAATAAACATGTGAACTACTTCCAGGGTTGCAATTCCAAGCTGCAATCTTTCATCTTAATGTGGAGCAGTACGAGGAGGAGGTAATGGTTTTCAATGTACATAGGAATGCCTTTTCTGAGAGTAGTTTTCAAAATGTAAATAGGTTTCTACAGAAAATGCTGCGACGTGAAATCCGGTGGCATGAAGGGGTTTTTCTCTGCACTCTGAGAAGCCTGGTAAAATTTAACCACAGAGTGCGTGTATCCTGACAATCAAGAGCAACTGTTCCCATTTCAGCTGACTCAAACACGCGGAACTGATATGCCATAGCTGACTTCAAGTTAATACGCCTCACAGTTAGAAAAGTATTGTGTTTTCAGTAACGTTCAGCTTCCTACTTTTGTTTAGCGTCTTTAGCTTTTGATGGGAAATAAACTTTATTCTACAGCCTGAGTGAAATGGATTTTTTTATGAGTGGTATCCTGGCCATTAACAAGGATATAGCCTGTATGCTGTGGGCTTTAAGTGTCATGTTATACTGAAATTGATGTTATGTATGACAGCCAAGATTTACAAAAGCTACAAAAAATTCCCTAACAACCACTCACCTCAGATGTGCAACAAGTTCTTTGTTGGTTTTAAAGCAGATACCAGATATAAATGATACAGAATGAACCAAACACAGCTGGGAGTGGAGAAAGCATCTGGTGCGAAACCACCTTGTGATAACTAAGAAGTTGACAGCACAAATTTTATATCTTGACTTCTTTTCAGCTTTTAAAATAATCCTATTTTAACTTTGAGCAATCTTTAACTTTGGGAACTCCTACTCCATCTGAATTGTCTAATGCATGTAGTTCCCCAGTGGCTTTCTCCTCCGTCATTGTTCCGTCGTTAGAAGTTCTGCCTTAAACCACTGCACTGCTGGGAGCACACGTTTGCCCTGTGCAAGCACTTAGACAGATGGCAGCGAGCTGACTTCACTTTGTGTTGATGCTTTGAGCAACGCGGAACGGAATTTCACACTGCAGGTTTGCAGGTTTCATAAAATTACCAATGTATCAACGAGTTTGACAAAAATACCTTGGTGTTTCTCTCTACTAATGTCTTACGATAAACAGACCTGTAATCTGATTTAGAATCTTTGTGCAGCATCCCTGGTATCCCAATAGATAATTCCACGAGGCAACCTGCAAGCAGGCTTCACAGGAAGGCTGTAGCCATGTTGCTTGCACGCAGCTATCGCTGACTTGTCAACTGATGCATTAAAGCATGAGCTGGGCACTGTTAGATCTTGTTTAGGCTTAGTAAGTAAAGTTAAAAGCAGTTAAGATTACTTCTAGATTGCCAGTGTCATCTTCTTCCCTCCACTATCAATGGTTTTTTTAAAACTCATTCCTTTGGTGTTTTGGAGAATAATTTCAAACGCTGAAACCTTCACCATCAGCTATATATTCTGTCCCCGGGGTTTTTTTTGGTAATTTTTGGTCTAAAAATGTAGATCTTGGGCAGAGACCAAGCAGTGGCAGTTTTGGTTTCCCACCAAAGGTTGTGTCAGCTCAGGGACATGAATTATGATTCAGAAAGTGAGATAAAAATTCAGAACTTCCTTGGTCTGGCATCAGGTCTTCTAGTGATGTCATTGGGAAGTTTAATTAAAAACCAAGATTAAAACCCTTATGTAATAATTCATTCGTTCATTCAGCTGGAGAGGAAAACAATGCTGGACATACCAATTCCTTTCTCTGGTTTGCTGCTTTGTTTACAGTCCTTCCAAACGTTTTCTGGTTTCTGCTGCTTCTCCCTCTTTATTCACCCCTTCCCTGTGCACTGCAGGGATTTAACGAGCCATCAACTCAGTTTGGAGAGCAAGGCATTTTATGCCCAGGTGATATAAGAAATAGATTTTTTCTTTTTTAAATTAACCTGTAGCAAGCCACGTAACTCTCTTTAAAACTTCTTCACACATGGCTATTTTTAAGTCCTTTGCTCAGCAGATCAGACTGCTTTGCTCTCTGCAAATCTTCTTCATATCTCTGCAGCTGAGACCAAAATCCTGCATTGGGTTCTGCTGCTGGTCTGGCAGTCTTCACAGTCTAGGAGAAAGGAAAGAGACTGTGTAAGCAAGGGTGGGTATCATGCAGACAGATATTTTTCTTTTCCCCCTTAGAGTTCTGGGCAGATTCACTTTGGTTTTGATTTGGCTATGGAGTAATAAACGGATATTTTGGTGAGCTGACCTCACTCTGTGCTTGCTAAGACCTCTTGGCACACGGTCCCTGTGACAGACCAACCAGCCACGACGAGGAGCTGTTGCATTTGTTGGAAATGTGAATGTCTCTCACAAAAACGTGGTGACACCACTCGTGTTTAAGATAGCGTGGAATTAGGTCACGTAGCTGCATGCCCCTGTCTAGTACTGAGCGAAACAGTTATCTAAACTGGAAAAACGTGGTGGAATTTTAATTAAAACATTGAGCATCTGTGTAACTGCTAATAAGCAAGTGAGAGAACAAAAAAAATTCTATGAGAAATCATCATTACTCATAACAAGCACCGTGTTTGCTACAGTTGTAAATCTGGGTGTAGGTACAATACCTCAAAGGCATCCCTGAGTGGGAGCTTTCGGTGTCTCATCAGATAAGCTGTGCAGATGGCAGCGGATCGGCTGCGCCCGTTCTTACAGTAAACCAAGCAGCCGCTCTTCACAGCCTCTTCGATCGCGTCGCTGCACTCTTCGAAATACCGATACAGGTCCTCAGCCGGATCGTCGAACACGGGCACGCGCATGCCCCGGACCTGCTGGAGGCCGGGGAACGGCTGCTGCCTGGTGACATTAACGCAGAAGGTGACTCCCTCACGCGTGAGCAGCTCCTCGCTGCAGGCCGCCTTGGCGTTGCTGATGAGCAGCGAGTCCGTGACCTTGCAGAGCTGCAGCATCGCCAGCCAAGGCCCCAGCGTCGCCGGCACCACAGCCCAGGGCTCCCACTTCTACTCCTCCTCCTCCTCGTGGCATTTGAGCCGCGGCACAGCCCCAGTGCAGCGGAATATCAT